CAGGTTTTTAAATTACACCTGCTGGGAGAGGAGCATTATACGAGCAGACGCCAGAAAAATTATGCAATGCAGTGTAGCATAATATCTCTAATATTTTACTCGAATAACAACAGCAGAAAGTGCAGGAGCACGAGCAACAAAACCGGGGATATTATGCAGGAAGATGCAGGCGAGCAGCATGGTGTCTTTTTGACTACCCATGTTTTTACATAAGAAGCAGGCACATATATATACACACACACACGAAATAGTTGGAGCAATAAATTCCCGGCGTCCTTCTTCCTGATCTAATATCATAATTAAAAAACAGTAGGGGAGATTTTAACTTTTATTGCATTTCTGGAGTTGGGCTGCTAAACATATATTAACTTTAGCTTCTTTGCTTGCTCTCCAGGGGGGTGGTCTCTCCGAAATAAAATCAATCTTAATATACACACAACAGATATTGTTTTGTCTTACACATGCTGTTAGAAGAAAGGGAAAGAAATCTGAAGACAGTTAATGCAGAGAAGGCAAATTGATCATATTTATAATGAATCCTTTAAATCATTCAATTATCACAGCACTAATACCAAATAATTATGGTTAAAAGCAGCAGTAATCAACATCGTCGCCGTTAAAATATTAATTTACAGTATCGTGAATGAGCGTCTTAATTTTTCCACCATTTTCTTTCATTTTTAAACCCACATATTGCATTTTTCCATCCTCGAGTGTTCAGCCTGGAAGGATTTTCAACTTAACCGCACTCCACGCAACATTGTTTTGCATCCAATCCACAACATTTTCGTCTTTTTTCACCCCCCCACATTTAGGATATATCACATATAACACAGCGGATAGTAAAAACAGTACATTTCAAGGAGGTTTAGGGAGATGCATTTACTATTTTTTTTTCGCATGCGATTTTATTCAATACACCAAACAGTTCCTCTGGTGATACCACAAAGACCAAGTGTCTATCCCAGGGAGCAGGAACATTTTCCACATTTGCCATCGAAATATGCTGCTTGCACAGAAACTTCCTTCTGGGGCTCGCGATTCAGAAGTCATGAAGGCAAAAAAAAATCGAAATACCACTTAAATAAAACACAAAAGAAGCCATTCCCGCCGCATCTGAACTTAACTCTGGCAAATATGACCGTCTGCCATTTTACTCACCCCCAAAAAGTCAATAGATTCCGAGTTGCATGCTTTTATTTTTATTCTTGCTCGAAGCTAAGCTGTGTCTTTGCAGTCTTAGACCAACACATGCAGAATTCGGGGTTTTCCCCAACAATCACAGCACAAAAACCTCCCGAAAAGCACTTGCTCACTGGTCTCTCTTGCCTTGCTCCACACATTTACCTCTTCTCTTTGCCAACTTCCTAACATCAGTAATCACACACATTAAGCCTCACTCCTATATTCTTAATTTCGCGTGCTTCTTTTTTCCCTTTTTTCTTTTATTTTCTTTTATTATTATTATTTTGCATTGAACCGCTGACACACAGATAAAACTTTCCCAGCTTGCACAGTGTATTTTGGAAGGGAGAATAGGGGGGAAAAAAGAAAGAAAAAGAAAAGGAAAAAGGAAAAGACATATGCTTTTGACACAGAGAAATCTCCACCATGTAACCCAGACGTCTGATTTTTCTTAATCAACAGTTACTTAGCTTTTGTATGTATCCCTACTGGAAAGTAATTCATAATCCAGGCTCAAGCAGCCGCGACAGAGGAGCCGTGTTCTTGCAAGTGAAACCCCACACCCCGATTAGAGCACGTAAAACGGCTATTAAATTTTACATCTTCTGCTGTTTTTTTTTTTTTTTTTTTTGGCTCTCTGTGTGTGTATTGTTGGCTGTAATGTCGCCGGAGGAAAGGAGAAGTTGGAAAGCCGCAGTGTGGGCTTTGTTCTTCGGGGCACCTTCGAGAAAACATGAGATGCTGCCACTTCATCTGAGCCCACACGGCGAAAGGGCTGCGTAGGAGAGGGCAACAGGAGCTGCCCCAGCACCAATATCCTCCCTCTGGAGTCCTTTTTCCACCCTCTCTTCCCCCCAAAAAACACCAAAGCCATCACCTTCGCAATTCAGGCTGATGCCCGAACAAGCAGCCCCCATCTTTTATATTTTTTTTTTTGGGAGGGGGGGTATAGAAATGGGTGAGGGAGATATTTTTTCCTCCCCTCTTCCTTTTCTATTTTATTTTATTTTATATTTTTTTTCTTATTACACCCCGAGTAAGACAGCCCGCAATCCAAGGAGATGGGCAGGCTCTGTGCCACCCATCCCGCCTTGCCGCCTTGGCTTTGCTCGGAGCCTTGTTTAAGCATTTGGCAGAAAATAAATAAATAAATAATAAGAATAATTTAAAAAAAAAAAAAGCCCGAGCTCCTTTGTCCTCCTCTATTATATGCAGAGCAGAGACAATAAAGGGGGGAAGGGGTATTAAAAATAATATTAAAAAAAAAGTATTTGGGGGCAGAAA